GATGAGAACGCCACCCCCTGCAATAGCGGCTACTCGAACTTTTCATATCGGCAACACATGCAGGAGGTGTGGTCAAGAAGGACACTTCGCTCGAAGGTGCCCTAACCCACAGAAGCTGTTCTGTTGGGGGTGCGACCGGGCAGGCATATGAACAATAGAGTGCTGCTGACGACTTCAGGGAAACGAAAGAGCGCTTAACCATGGAACAGGCGCAAAGAATCCCCTGAGTACAACCAGTAATCTTGAGGCAGGAACATGGCCGCCTCTACGCCCTAATCTCGCTGGGTGGAGAGCCCGTGGAAGCCGTCGTCGTTACAGGCGCCTCGAGGAGCTTCGTGTCCGTCAGCTTGGCGGAGCGCATGGTTAGCTCGGGGAGCGGCGTAAAAATAACAATGACCATAGGAATACTTATGGCCGATGGCACCAGGAGTCAAATATCCGAAGCCGTGAACACCGTAGTCCGCCTTGGGAAAACGACTCACAACGGCGTTCTGCAGGTCATGCCTGGAGCAATTGTCGACATCATCCTGGGCCTGGACACACTAGGAGTAATGGGAGCGACAATGTCCTGCGGTGGCCACCGAATCATATTGACGGAGCCACCCATACAAGCCACGTCGACGACACCAAGTGACCCACACCCGCTAACCACCGAGGACACCGAACCACTCGCCATGACGAGAAATCGCCCACCAAGGGGCATCAAAATGAGGCGCCGTACAAGACGAAGGTCCACAAGGGAGAAGATCAACATAATAGAACGCGAGGACTCAACTACGAAGAAGAGGTAGCCCGCATGCGGGACTATTTAGCAGAAGAATTGCACAAGGGAGAGGGTCCACGCGAGGACCCCAACCACGAGGATGAGGCAGCATGCATGCGCGACTATTTAGCAGAAGAATTGCATAAATTCGAGACTATGAGTGAAGTAGCCACGGTAGGGGAGAACCGAATCGTCATGACTTACGAACGCCCCATCAAGCAGCGATACTTCCCGCGTAACCTCCCTACAATCTATCATCGACGCGGAAATCGACGAGCTACTTGTGAAGGGGTGTATCGAGCCGTCTCGCAGACCACACAGTGCACCGATCGTTCTAGCCCGGAAGAAAAACGGCAAGTGTCGCCTATGTGTCGCCAACTCAACGCCCGAGGAGTACCGGACGCATACCCCCTGCCCAGGATACAGCACATATTGAACAAATTGCGCCAGGAGAAGTACATCAGTAGCCTAGACCTCAAGAACGGATACTGGCAGATATGCCTGGAGCCGAATAGCCGCCCGTACACAGCCTGTTCTAGTGACGTGTCATGCCGTTCTACCTACATTCCGCACCCGCAACATTCCAGAGAGCGTTAGACCAAGTCATCGGTCCAGAAATGGAGCCCTACGCGTTCGCCTACCTCGACGCCATAAAGGCCCGTCCACATAGAACTTTGGCGTTGCGCTGGCGTTGGCGTTGGCGTCGATTCAACAGCTGACTATGAATACATCAATTTAAATGCAGGCGTCCACATAGCCAAAATTGGGCAACGCTCACGCCAACACAAAGCAAAAAGATGGTCAACTCTCAAATTTTCGCGTGCGTCGCTCGTCAGCTGTAGCAAATAAATAAAATTATGTTAAATATTTTTCTTTTTTAATCAAGTACGGGCAAGAAATATCGTTTTTAATTCAATTATTGATATGAAATATTAAATTATCTGTCGTTAGTATGTTAATTTAGAGGCCCAAGCCTTCGCTGCCAAGCGTTCATTGTAGCAAGCATACTTTTAACGTGCGTTCTGTCAAACCAACGCCAACGCCAAAGCCAACGCGAAAGTTCTATGTGGGCCGGTCTTAATCGTCATAAGCTCCATCTTCGACGAACACGTGTTGCACTTGCAAGAGGTACTCTGACGACTACAGCGGGCCAACCTGCGCATTAACCCCGAAAAGTGTGATTTTTTTAAAAAGGAGCTCCAGTACTTGGGCCACGTCATTAGTGACAAGGGCATACACATCAACCCCGACAAAGTCGCCGCCATCCAGGAACTAAAACCCTTAACCAACGTGAAGGAGGTGCGCCAATACCTCGGGATAGCCTCCTGGTATCGCCGGTTCGTACCCGACTTCGCTACGCTAAGTTAACCACTCACCGCCCTCCTGAAGAAGGGCAAACACTGGAGATGGGGAACTGAACAACAAGAAGTGTTCGACGCGATCGAGCGAAAACTCACAGAGGCCCCCATACTCGTGTGACCAGAATTCAGCCTGCAGACGGACGCGAGTAATTTCGGCTTAGGGGCGATACTCACGCAGGAGCTGGAAGGCGGTGAACGGGTAATTGCATACGCCAGTCGGGAGCTGAATAAGGCAGACGTCAATTATTCGGCCACGGAAAAGGAAGCCATAGTCTGGCGAATACGCAAAATGAGGCCCTATCTGGGAGGATTCATCGTCATAACCGACCACATGCCACTAAAGTGGTTAAATTTCATAGAAAGCCCCTCAGGTCGCATAGCGCGATGGGCCCTGGAGCTGGAGCAGCACGCCTTCGACATCCAGTATCGCAAGGGAATCTCAACTTAGTCGCGGATGCATTATCTCGACATCCACTAGAAACGCTACTACGACCAGCAGGAGCAGAACCACGATGCAAGTCGTGGCACAGGCGCCTTGATGAAGTACGTACCAACCCGGAGCGATACGCCGATTACAATATACAGGAGGGACAGCTCTATTGCCATATCCCGTGTCGCTCCCAGGACGAGGAGGCAGTCCCCTGGAAACTGTGTGTGCCAAGTCCCCTCCGCCAACGAGTATTACGAGAAAACCATGACGTACCAAGCGCTGGACACATGGGTATTCGCCGAACTGTAGCACGGATTGCCAATCGGTATTATAGATAGGAATGTTTCGCGACATCAGCCGGTACGTCCGTCAATGGGAGTCTGCCAGAAGTACAAGGAGGGACAACACAAACCAGCCGGGAACATGCTCTCGCAGGTTGCGCAGAAACCTTTTGCCACGGTATGCGCCGACTTCATTGGACCCCTACCACGGTCCACGCATGGCAACGCCATGTTGCTGGCATTTTTCGACCGATTTAGCAAGTGGGTCTAGTTGGTCCCTATGAGACAGGCTACAGCGGAAGGACTTCGTCGCGCGTTTAGGGAGCACATCCTCGCCCGATTCGGTGTACCCAAGGTTTTTGATGTGGGACAATGGTGTACAATTTGCCAGCACACCCTCGAAGTGCTGCCTCCAGGAGGTAGGGGTACGCCAACAGGGGCACTGTAAAGCG